TGCAACAGCACAGTGCCCTCTGATGACGCCAGTAAGAACTTTTACTAAGAAGGCCGCCCGCCTTTTTCCTATCTAACTGCGGCCATAATGGCCTTGCGACCTCACAAACATATCGTTTGGCCCATAATGCATTTCTAACGGCTTAGGTGTATTCATAGATTTTTCATTCATTGGAATCCCAAGTCATAATTGGCCATCCCATCTACTATCTCGTTTACTTCGACATTGTTATGTCAGCGATCCCAGCAAAGGGTTGCATTCAGCTGGCGCAGCGATGCCAAAACGTCACAGAATTTCTGTACAAACCCGGATTCCGCTATTATGGTTCCTATTATAACCTTTCAAAGTGGCTTGGCTATGGGCCAAGGTGTAGTGGCTGTCTTCGCTGTAATCGTGCTTTTTAGTGGAAGGCTAACTGTGTTCCTATTTTAATAAATCTTAGCTTGCAAATCGTTGCAATCGTTTGGCCACCAAAAAAAAACCGATCTCTCGGATTCAGAAGATGTTGACGTTGTGATTTATTTTGGAACGAATTTCCGTCATCCCTTGTCAAGTTTGGTTTGCAGACATGTTGACGTTGTCTTTCAACCGAGTCACCCTGCATCTCTCTAATTAGTTGGGCCGCTGGCCATAATAATAGGATTTATGATTTATCTGCTCCCACATAACATGATTTGGTTGGTAGGTTGGTTGAAGTGGAGAGTTTAACTACTCCAATTATCACTTCAGCGTGCCGTTTTAAAACCACCACTCGCAATTTAAACTGAAACGAAAGCGCGAAAAGAAAACAGCAGAAGTCGGTTATTTATCTCAAACCCAGTATGTGGAGTTCAAGAACATAAGAAGTTGCAGTGGGTTAGTATCTCTTATATCTATTAAACCGTAGAAGCAGTCTTGAAGCCTGATTCTAGTCCTACATCGGGCTGGACAATCGCAGAGCAGATGCTTCACCGTTTCTTCTGCATCTGGTGCATAACAGCTTCGACAAGAAGTGTTGTGTTCCAGTCTTGCAGCATGGATTCCCATGGCCCAGTTGCCTGTGTAAACAGCAGTTAGTCGATATAGAGCCCTTATGGCAAAGATCTCTGGCCTGAGAAACACTGTCCAATCCAGTTTGGGCTGTCCGTAAAAATGGATACTTCGAAGCGCTCAATAAAAATAGGATCCTCCCACTCTTTCCGTGATGGAAAAAGCTTGCCGAAGTTTTTCTTCAAGAGAACTTTAAACCTCAGCTTCTGGACTGTCCATCTTAAAACATATTTTCGTGCACCTTAGGCACATTTGTATTTTCCATAAACATAGGATATTTTCACTAAAGTTTGAAGCAAAGAAAAATGGTTTCAACCTGAGTCCGCACGAACAGTTGAGCAATTTTCATTACCTTCTAATTTATGCAAGTTCATTGAACCGCCTCCCTACATACCAACGTATTTAGACACCCAGGTGACAGCGTTGGCGCTGCATGCCATTCACGCTTGTGTAATATCACAAATTCGTTGCAATTACTAATTTAAACAAAACATTAGGCTACTACACGCCATATTCGCATTGCGCTTAATTATCGTAACACTAAAAGCCGCTAATTACTGACTCACCAGCAAAGGAGATAAAACATGCACTCATCTACCTACTAACTAAAAGTTCTACAATTCAATGCGAAATTAGCAATAAAATTTCATTTCTATAGGCCAATAAAAAAGCCTACTATGTACGCCTACGATGTAGTCAATAAGCTTACTTGACTTTTCCAAGTCATTAAGCGCCTGCTCATTGCAGCAAGCTGACTAGAGCCAATATTTACAAACTGATGGGGTTTATGGTGTTTACGGTGTTTTTACTATTTAATATTACTGGAAATCGCAAAGTCATAAGTACAAGTCACACAAAATGTCAGAATACCCACACTTAATGACTACGACAGCTAATCGTGCGACCCGGCGACGTGGGAAAACAGGCCAAAGATCAATGCTCGCGAATGATCGCTGTCGCAGTACAGCTATTTAGTTTGGTAAGCGCGGGACGTGTTGGGAGGACGTCACTTTCGTTTTCATTGAAACTGGCTGAAAAGTCATAAAACAACCATATACTAATATGTGAGTTTTCCCCCGCTTGCGAGTACAACGCTGATCGACGTTCAAGCGCCATCACATAAACACTCAAACACACTTCGATACATATGTAAATTCACACATCCGCCCAGCTTACCATCCTCCCAGCTGTCTGCCTGTAATTTGTTTGCTTAACTGCGTCGCATTATCGCGGGTGTTGTGGGAACGCCTGCCTTGTCTGACGGTTGACGGCATGCAGCTAGCGGTTTGCGGCTGGTTGATTGGCTGATTATCTGTCGATAAACGTCGAACATGCTAAGCGCATGTAATTCCCGTGATTTACACGAGATTCGCGTTGTAAACAATGCGCTAGGTGTAAATACATATGAGTGAGTGATCGCCGTCGATCGGCCTGATCAAGCCGCGGCGCGGCGCACGATCGGGCATTTTTACGCTGTAGATAGTTTCGATGAAGTCGAAAAAGGGCGCATGTCGCACAACTTACTGGGGCATTTAAGTCGCTTATTACAAAACGTTTAGCACTCAATCCCGCACGTAGATATGTATGTATATATAATTTGTACAATTAGGCATAATTTGAGAGTTAAGTAGGCAGTGGCAACAAAAGCGTTAAATCGACATTAAATGGCTGGCACTTCATTAAATCTAAGTATATACTGACATAAATATTTTTTCACTATCATAGTTAGTAATAAGCCTCTGTGAACTTCACAGGTGCGCGCTGAGTAAGCGAATTTCTTTGGGAACTATTTTTTTAAATTACTAATTTCAAAGCGTTTGCAATTAATCACAATCAATTTTATTCTTTCTTTGTTTTTTTTGCACAGATTTTCCATTAAAATTTTTTACCAAACAACGAAAAGGACGTTAACTGAAAAAAAGAGATATAAAAATAACAAAAAAAACCAATCAACTACGACATTGATTGATCGTTAATCGAAACTCATTGACACTCTAACCTTGAACTAACTGACTAACTTTCACCGCCGACCATAATTCGCGTGCGTTCGTTCGTTCGTTCAAGATGAGCATAATCGATAGCGGACGTTATCGGCTGCGCAAAGATTGGGCCAGTGCCTCCATACCGTCATTGGTCGATATCGATGAGCATGTGGGCGATGAAGTGGAGAATTCACTAAATATTACAACACCCTTGCCGCCACCAAAGCCGCCACGTCGCAGCTCATTGGCCTTGGGCTTGTTCTCCAGCAAGGGCGATAAGAGCCAGAAGAGGCGCAGCTCGATTGCGGTCTCATTCCTGCGGCGCGACAGCAATAAGGTGAGTGTATAATGAATCATCATATTATATCAGTTTATACACATGTCTCATTTTTTTTTTTTGTCATACCTTAAGAGGTCAAGTCGGGCTAATACACTTGCAATTCTTTTGAAAGATGGTATGCAACATATTTTGAAAGATTTAGTTTATTCTGGAACGAAAGGCTCACAAAAAAAGCTCCCCTGCAAAGTTTCATGGTAAAAAGCTATTTTGACTGAAAGCAATTGAGCATGTTCGAAATGGAGATGTATGTACTTTTTATAATTTTATTTGTTTTTTCTTTTCTAAATTTATTTGTAGATTTTATTTTTGTTTTAAGAAATATATACTTATATTTTTTTTATTAAGTTTTTTTAAAACTTTTTTTCCTTTTTGAATTCATTTTTTATCTTTCTTAATTACATTTTCCTTTATTTTTTGACTTTATTGTTCTAAAATCAAACTTATATTTTATATTTGTTTTAAAACTAAATGTTTGAACGATAAATATATCGTCGTTTAAAGTAAAAACCGCTTATCGTGTTTTTGCAAAATCTCGTAACTGCCATTTTTGCCAAAAAATAATTTTTTTTAAGTTGATTTAATTTTTAAAAAGTTATTTTATTGTTTTCAAAATAAACTTATATTTTTATTGATTTGATTTAATTTTTTGGATCTTTTATAATTTTTTCTTTTATTAATAATTTTTTTAAACTTAAATTTCTTTTAATTGCCAGATTTTAGTGTCTCAAAAGCAAATATTTTTATATATTTTTTAACTTAATTTTTTTTCTTTGAAATTTAATTGCCTATAGATTTTAATTGTGTTAAAAACAAAAATACATATATATGTATTTTTTTTTTATTTAAGTTAGTTTTAAGAAAGTTTATTGGTGAAAGACAACAGAATAACGCTGAGACCTTCTCGTTAGGAAAACAGCTTCGCTACCCGCTCCTTGGGAATCTATATGTATACCTTCATGATACCCTGCAATTGTACGCATTATAAACGGCATTGGGGAAAAATGTAGGGCGGGGAAACACTTTTTGGCCCATATATTTTGTGCTCTTTAAGCAGTGTTCTGGTAGCCTCTATGTCTGATTTTGAGTCCAATTGTGGATAGTATGAGGGAAGCTTTACCATGAACTGTCTCTTTTCACCTACTTAGCTGCATATACTTATTCGATAAGAGTTTCAAGACTGCCAGCTTTAATATTGTTTTTACATATCATAGAAGCTTAGTCCAAAATCAGCTGATGTTTTCTAAAATTGTATCTGATTATTGCCAAATATACATATGTGCATAATTCTCATTTTCCTTTGCAGAACTCCTCCAAAGATTCCTATGAATCTGCTGTGAAACAAGAAAAGAGCGACGGCTCAAACACACCGGTTAGTCCAGAAATTATATACACCGCCGATGAGAATGTACGCGCCTCCTCGCCTAATGAGCCTGGCAAGTTGACCTATTTCGATGATGGCTCCAATTTGAGACCCATTGTGAAGGGCATAAATTCACCGGTCGACAAAGAACGCAATCGCCGGCGACGCAGTTCACTGCAAGCGAAATTGGAAAGACATCGTCGCAAGAATTACGACATTGGCCAATTGGGCATGGACAGCAGCTTGCCGAGCGGCTCACAAAGCGAATTGACCAATGGCAGTATGGCTGACGCTAATGCCGCCAATGGCATGGGCTCATCTGCGGGCGAACTACCGTACGGGGATATCGATCCAAAGCATACAGCATATTTTCCGCGTCAAAAACGTCATTCATGGTGGAATATCTTTGTGCCAGAGAATTTGAAAAGCAGGTGAGAAGAAGTGAGGGGAAAGGGATTGCAAGAATTTATGTTTTATTAATTTAAGTATTTCATTTATTTCAAGTTTATGTTATGAGCACCCAACTAAAATCGTTAACCCGTTAACTGTGTTTTTATGAATTTAAAACTGCTAATAACTCCTTGACTTATTTTCGGCGTACATACATTCGATGTGTCGAAGGCGTTTTTTTACGCGGAATGCTAACAACAGAATATTGCTGACACATTTACTTAACCAAATTTACTCTGGAATGTTAAAATTTCTATTTTTTTTATTTTTTGTGCCTGACTTGTCCAAATAACCTTTTATGCCGTTTTAACTGGGTTCAACTATTTTTAAACATCTCTTCACTGGCGGGAAGAACTCAATGGATTTTGTGACTAACAACAATATTTATTAACCTGCGGGAGTAATGCAAAATTAAAAGCTTGTGGGAATGCACACATTTGTATACATACTTACTTGCATATCAACGTACATATGTTTATAAGCAAGTACTTAATAAAAAAAAAATTGCGACTACTTGAGTGGGTATAATTGAATATGGGAATAACCAGTGCGCGGTTAAAGCGGCAATTCGCGCAGCCGCAAGATTGTTAAAAGAAAAGCATTTGAGCTTCGTTGCGTGTACTTAAAAGGCTTCGGCTTCTTCTTTTTTATATATTTTTTTACAATTTTTGTTCTGAGAAAAGTCACATGAAGCATTGAGCTTCACCGCATCTTTGTGATTTGACAGTTGTGGGCTCGTATTTTAGTTACATCTTTCTTCTGGCTTCACTTATGATGCATTTTTCATTTTCCATCAAGTAAATTTATTGTCATACCTTGAATGTAGATTTTTTGTGAATTAAGAAATGCTAAAAATAAGAATTGCATTATGGCAAAGATGAGCACTAAAGCACCACTAAAGTCTTGGGACGCTTGTGTACTTTATCTGAGAAAATGATTTTAATATCTTACCATATTTCATGGTGCCATAACTCGTGACATGATGTTTTAGTTTTTATAGCGCAATAAACTTAATGGAAGTGTAGAAATAATTCTGTTCAATGAAATTCGGTATGCTTTTTTAACCTACATATTTGTTACAGCAATGTGTGTTATTAACCGCCTTGAAAAAAGGAGGAGGTTATCAATTCGTCGGAGTATTTTTTTTTCATGTATGCTACTGCAAAATTTGGGACCACGTCAAACGATTTCGATAATTCTTTCCTTATCGGAAAGGTGTTATCTCAAGGGTCCCATACTAATTTCTTTTAGTTCCGATCATGGGATCATTAAAAAAAGAACGGTATTCCTAAATGTCTATATGATAC